GGCCCTGGGCTCGCCCAGACCCGCGCTGGGCCGCGTCCTTCCTCCCCCTCCTCCTCCTCCTCCTCCCGGCTTTCCTGCGTGGGTCGTTGCTTTGCAACCACTGCGAGTTGCAAGTAGTTTTACCGGCGGCGTTGTGCTTCCCCCAAAGCCTCGGTGCATCTCCCTGCCCGCTCCCCACGAGCGGTTATGGGGATGTCGGCTGCAAACTCTGCAGCAGCCCAGTACGGGTGTTTCTGGCCCAAACTGGTTTTATTTTTTTCTCCAGGACGGCGAAACCCCTTCTAACTTGATTAGCAGAAGCAAAGCTTCTCGTGTCACCAGGAAAGGTAGTTGTTACCTCACCCCCCACGTCTGGGGCAGCCCTTCCCCGTTTTCAATACTGATTTTATCTTTTCACTTCCAGGAACTGTGGATCAGAGATGAAGGCTATCGGGGGCAGGCAGAATACCCAACAGCACGAAAGGAGGAGTTCAGGAAAAACAGGTCATGCTATGAAAGTATTTTTAACAGGAATTGCACGTTTGGGTGTGAGGTTATCCCCCAGCACCCCCTCACCCGTGAACACGCCTCCCCAGTACCCCCAAGCACTTGGCAGCACAGGTTACAAGGCAGGAGGCTGCTCACTCTGCAGGGCATGAGCTGGCTGCTCCCTCTGATGGAAAATGGGAAGGTTTGCACTTGGCATCAGTAAATTTTAAATGGCAGGGTTTTTTTATTTAATTCGTGTGGCAGCAGCAGCTTTGTCACTTGCCTAATGCAGGTGCGAGGAGGAAAAGGCCACACCACCCGTGGGCAGCTGGGCCACCTCCTTGTGTTTCAGTCCACAACTTCTATCACAAGATGGAAGAAGAAAAAAAAAACCTAGTCTTGGCTTGTGTTAGCAGGAACTGCAAGTCTTAAAGATTGTATTATCTCTGCTTGATGGTGCATAGGTTTGTTCAGGTAATGGCAGATCCTCTGAGCAGAGGAAAGGAATTTCTCAGAATCTCTTGAATCCAAATATAGAGTTTGTTTATAAAGTACAACAGGATGCCCTTGGGGAACCGAGCCCTGCTGCACGCAGAATGGCATGGAGCCAGGTACAGCCTTCCCTGGCATACTCGAGCCGGCAGAAGTTGCCTGTGGGGTTTAAATGCTGAAGCAGGAGCTAGCTGGTGAGCAGAGGTAACCACTGAGCTACGAGCCGTCCCCAACTCCTGCCGAACTCCTGTCGCTCCAGCCCTTCGGGCACCAGCCTGCCAAAAGCAGCTCCCGCATGCTCGCCCTTCAGACTCAACTCCAAAGCCCACTAAAGCAAGGTACTTCCAGAGAGTTTATTTATACACTGTTACCACTTACATTCAACACAACAATCAGCAAACCAGTCAACCCAAATTAGCTCATTCTCCTTTATTGGTCATTCTTTCATTTTGTGCTAAGTTAATTTGCGCTGTAAGTTGTATCACATCTGTAGCGGCAATGGCAGGAATCAAGCCACAAGGACAATAGTGTGAATATATGAACTAACAAGATACCAGAGAGATTTAGACTTTATTACTGAAGCTTTTTTTCATTCATCGGTCAGTTCTTTTAAGATGGTCTTCAGCAATCTTGCTCTGTGCAGGCTTAGGCTAAACCTGTGAGGTAAGAAGTTATCACAGTTAATTGCACTAAGGTCTGGATCCCTCAATGGCAGGTGCTATTCCACCCCTCATCCATTTGCTGGGATGTGCTGAGCTGCAGACTCCAGCAGTCCACCCCAACACCGGCGTTCTGTAGTCCTTTCTCCCAGGGCAGGAGCCAAAGAGGCGCTTGCTCCAGGCCAGCAATGCCATGCTGATGCTCCAAGAACACTGCCACCCCTCTCCTACTTGGCTTCGGTCCATGCACCAGCACAAAAGCTGCAGCCAATTCATCCTCTCTCCACCCCCCTCACCTCCAGCTACAGTACAGGGCCAAAACAGGAAGCCCAACAAAACAGCAACTTGTTTTAACTGACTTCAGTATATGTGCTCTGTATCAATCCCCAGTTCTTTACTGGATGGTTTGAAGAAAAGCAGGAAATTCCCATGATAATTTTACCACTTAGCTCATTTAGTAGTTCCCACTTACCATTAGCAAACCTGCACTGCTTCAGTACCTCACTGAAGCCCTCACACAGCTTGAGGTCAGTCTGGTTCTGCGCACACTCCAGGAATTGCTTCATTTCATACTGGCAAGGAGCAAACTGCTGCTGCTGCTGCTGGTAGGCAGGCTGAGCTGCCTGGGGCTCCTGAAACGGCAGACACCTCCCTAAGTTCCTTTTCCACAGCTCCAGCCTATGAAGCCACACCACCCCAGTACTGCTCACTGTGTATTTCCTCCCTGTGTATTAGTCAAAATGTTGTGTTACTTTTTAAGTGGAAAACAAATAATAGCGTGAAGTACAAAATCAGTTTCCAGCAGTGGCACAACACATTCTTAACAGTTTTGTAAGTTACAAACACTTGGGTAACTCTGGCAAGGTAACAGCATTATTTTAATGTCTGAGCAGAAAGATCTTGCAATAGACCTTACCATCATCAGACCTGGAACAGAGAAGTCCTGTCTGAATCAGAGGGGTACTACAGCAGGAAACAACACCCTACCACAAACACGTGTTACTCATGCATCTCTCTGAAATACTTTTAAGATCCTTATGGTGATTGTAGTAGTTACCTTGGAGACTGAGTTGCTAAGTTACCCCAGCTTTCCCAGCCATGATCTCTGTGGCCTCTACATCTACAGCCATTACCTCAGCCTATATATAAATGATGTCCTAAGTTAATTACACCTCATTAATTGGCATCCAGTCGTGATTTCTCTTACCTGATAAGTAATATCAGGCCTTGCGGCTTCAGAGCTGCTTCCTCCACCAAACCCTCCTGTAAGCGCATGACCTATGGTATGGCCTACAGCAGAGCCAACAGCAACTCCAGCGGCAGTTGTAGCCATCTGTGCCATCAGACCAGGCTGCTTCGGTGCAGGAGCAGCCACTGCAGAAGCTGGTGCTGCTGCTGGGACAGGTGCCCGAGCAGCAGGTGCCGGTGATGCAGCTCTCATTTGTGGTGCCCGACTGCAAGGACATAAAGAGAAACCTCTCATCATCACTCTAAACTCACACTGGGCAGAGGCCATCTGGTTGTAGGGGATGAGCATTTACAGTTCCTCCTTGTTACATCCTGCAGGTCAACGGCGAAGGCTCAGTGGTAAACTCAATAGTCTGGCGAGTGATTTCTGCACAACAGGGTCAGGTTTACGGGCTGATTTTCGACTGGTTTAAAGATTGGCAGCACTCTCACCCCCCAAAGAACTGCGCCGTTTCGCGGGAAATGAGGTCTAACTTAAAAGGGGTTGATTACATAGGGCACTCGGTGGCCGGGCCCCGCCACGCGCCTAACCCCGCTCGGCTAACCGAGCTCAAAGAAGCCGAGCTTTGAGCCGGGCACCCCCCCGACCGCCATGTCCGTTACCCCCACCCCGGCGCGTCACCCAACCTCGGAATGGCGGACAGGCCGCTGCCGCCTGCGGCCTACACGGGGGTGGGGAAGAAAGGGCCCAGCGGCTCTCACCTGGCGGGGGGCGCCACGCGGGACGTGCGGCTCCGGCCACCC